GGCGGGAGAGCACGGGGGGCATGGGAGCGAACCCCCGCTCCGCGCTGCCCACCCCCGCTTCCTGCTTCCCGCTTTAAATTTAGTTCTCCAGGGCTTTTCATTTACATTTTTTTTTTTGGGTTTTTTTTTTTTTTTTTTTTCCCCGGCCGCCGCCGTGGCCGCCCGGCGATGAACGGCGGGGCTCTGCCGCCGCTGCCCCCCGCCGCCCCCCGCGGCCGCCGGCGGCCCGCCTCCCCCGAGCTGCTGCGCTGCAAGCGCCGCCTGGCCTTCGCCGCCCTGCCGGGCACCGGGGCGGCGGCGGCGGCCGCCGTGGCCCGTCGGAACGAGCGGGAGCGGAACCGCGTGCGGCTCGTCAACCTGGGCTTCGCCGCCCTCCGCCAGCACGTCCCGCACGGCGCCGCCAGCAAGAAGATGAGCAAGGTGGAGACCCTCCGCTCCGCCGTCGAGTACATCCGCGCCCTGCAGCGGCTCCTCGACGAGCACGACGCCGCCGCCTCTTTCCCCGACGGCCGCGGGCGGGTGGCCGTCGGGGAAGTCGGCGGCGGCGGCTACTCCTCCGCTTCGCCCTCCTTCGCCTCCTCCGTGCCCGGCTCGCCCTGCTCCTCCGAGGAGAGCGGCTACGACGCGGCGCTGAGCCCTGAGGAGCGGGAGCTGCTGGACTTCACCAGCTGGCTGGGGAGCTACTGACCCGGCGGGAGGTGAGGGGGCAGCCGGAGGGGAGGGGGGGCCGCTTTACCGCCCCGGCGCTCGGGGGAGCGGGGCACGGACCCACCGGGGCTCTCCTCACATCTCTCCGCAGCCGCGCTCAGCCTGCAGCACCTCGGCGCCCGCATCATCCCCCTTGGAAATACTGACCTCCTCCCCGGCGGGACCCCGCTGGCTGCTTTTCTCGCCGGGTTCACCCGTCGCCTTCGGGTCGTGGAAAGTGCAATGATGTAACTCACTTCGGGGCCCCCGCTCCCTGCGCCGGGGCAGAGTCTCCGCCTGCCCGCCGGCAGCTGCCGACCGATGGAGAGGATGCCCGAGCGAACCCGCTTCTCTCCCGCCGCTGCTCTCTGGTGTTGCTTTGGACGGGTGGAAAGGAAAAAAAAAAAAAAAGAAATCAAAAACACTTGATGCTTCCTTGTTTCTGGAGGGGGAGGGGAATTTTTTATCATGTCAGATTCTATTTTATATGTAACTTGAACTGCCTGTGGGAACACTGGTGTATGAAGACTTATTTTTGTACAAAAAACCTTAGAGAAAAGGGTTGAAAAGATGGTTTTATTTTTAGCAAGTCCTATTCACTTGTTCTTGAACACTGCCAGCTAGAATGTTTTGGGAACATACATGGTGTAGGTAAAAAGGTGTTTGTTTGGGTTTTTTATTATTATTATTCTCTCCAAACACTTCAGTAAAAGACTGTAAAGTTGTGTTTCAACGTGGTGTCTGAGTTTGCCTGGTGTGAAGGTCCACTTCTCTGAAAACTGAAGTTTTTTAAAAAAAATGTATTGAAGGCATTTTTGTATGCACTTGCTAGGATTTCTTAAGTTGTATATATGCAGTTTTTAAGAGAGTATCATATTTTATGTAAATTGACTTTATAAATAAAAATCTATTTATAAGTGGCTTCAGGGCTGTAAGATATATGTATTTGTCAGAAATGCCCAAGGTAACTTAACCCCTGAAGGGGTGGGAGAGGAAAATAAGGAGTTGACAGAGCAAAGAGACAGTTCTCCTGGACCAGATTTCATATGCAGAAGGGAATAAGCAGCAACATAACAATCTCCAGGCTTGCCTTTTTTTTTTTCCCATTCAAGTTTTATGCACTCAGCACTTGGAGCAAGTACTGCAGAGATGATGTATGGGAAGCTGCAGATGTGTGTAGGAGACAAGGCAGGTTCAGAGCTGATAACTCCTTTCCTGAACATGGAGAAGGTGCTGCTGCAGGAGGCTGTGTTGCCCTTGCCTACAGTGATGGGAATGTTGTGGGAAGGTAAAGAGGAAATGGGTATTTGAAGTTTGTCTTGGCAGCTACTCTCAAGAGGTAGGTTGGGGTGCCTTTATTCAGGAAGGATCATCTTCAAGAACACTCGTTATTCCAAAACCACACATAACCAACAGTGTTCCACTCTGTCCTACTGTAAGTTCAGCTGCATGTACATATTCTTTATCTAAAGGCAACAAACAAACATGAATTGCTCCTTGGAAACTGTTGTCAGAGACTCATAAGCTCTGTCCATACTTTTGGGTTCGTGCTGAAGATCTGCTTCAGTGGTGAGCCAGAAGTAAGACTGTGTGTCTTTAAGGTAATCCTGCTGTGAAACAAAACACAGTGATGATTTCATGAAAAACTATGGCAGACCTGTTAATTCCCTTAAATAGCTCTAGCAAATGTTAGGAGTTGAATGGAGCAAAATGGGCTGGCCTGTAGAATATGATGAACGAACACAAAGCAGAAAGGGTTATTAAAATTGACCTACTTTACAGGACTCTGGGTATAATCTCTGCTGCCTCAGTACTGGGAAGGTAGAACTTTTCAGAACTATCACGTAGCAGTCCCACATTCAGTAATTGCAGTGGATGCTCTGTAATCCAGATCTGTAAGAGTATTCCACACACATGATTCAATTCCAAGAGGAAAAAAAAATCTCCAAAATAAGCCAAGGGAAAATGAAGGCTCTAACAGCAGGTAGCATTTAGGATACTGCAATCAAGAGCAATAGTTATTGTGCTTCAAGTTCATTCCCTAATCAAAGTTGCTCTAATAAACAGTCCCTTTAAAAGGCGCAGGGAATTCAAGTGCTTAATAAATTGCTTGCAAAGGTTTTATTCTTTATGGCTCTTCAACAGTCCCAGAAGTAGGAATGAGAGCTGTGAGCTGACTTGGGCATTTAGTGATCAACTGGCTTGGCAGCAGCAGGTGGGGCTGGTGGAGTGGGGGAGTAATGTGGTACCTTTCCCCAGGGTGGGTTTAGGGGCTTTATCCTCACGGATGATGTCCAAAAAATCAGTCAGGCATAAACCCTTGCAGATTCCTACATACTCATTCTCAATCTGAAAGAACACCATGTCATCTTTTCCAAACAGTGTAGAAGTTGGGACTGCTGCATTGATCTGGACAAGTGTCCCACTATGGCAGAATGCATTTGTTTAAAGCATGGTACTGCTGCTTGACGTGGTGTTTGTTTTCCTTCTTTAGAAGCACCGATCAGTTTAGTATTTCCTAAAGCAATATTTGGCTTTCAGTCAAGTAACTCCCAGCATTGTTACCACTTCATCTGATCACCCAAGATACTGTTGCAACAACATTGAAGCAGCATCAACTGTAACTGTATTGGCAAGATATTAGCTGTAAGCAGTTTTCACTTAAGCAATATTAATAATAGTGGGGGGGAAAGGAGCTTAGTCAGCATCACAAGTTACCTTAATGCTGTCAGCCAGTGTTTTAGTAGAAACTAAACGGGGAAATCAGGAAGGTATGATTTGCTTTAAAAAAACCTCACACTGGTCATAAGTCTTCCAAAGAGTTGAGGTGAAAGAAGGTGCAGTGAGAAGGATGTTTGCCTGTATGTCCTGTGTGATGGACAGAGGGACTCCTTTCCCCAGCCGTGGTCATGGTGACAAGTCTCTAGCAGATCCTCAGACCAAGCTGCTACACCAGAGAGAAGAGTATTGAATCATTCCACCCTTTTAAGAGAAAGCATTAGGGAGGATGCAAGGTAGGTTCTTCAGCAGCTGCAGAGACAGCAGGTACCTTCAGCCAGCCCAGCTCACTCCTCTTCAGTGGAAGAAGACTGCATGGACCCCGTTGAGAAGACTTCTGACCCTAAAAACTCAGACCTCTCTGCTCCATTTATGCAAAATGGTGCCAGTGCAAAGATTGAAGACGAAAGCCCTTTGACCGTGAGAATCATCTGTCAGCAGCAAGAGTAACAGCAGACCTGTCTTCTCAGCCAGCTGCTTCCCCCGCCTGGAGAAGCCACCTACACGTGATGATGAGACCCTCAGTGTTTGAGTTAGCTGCCATCAACCAAGAGCTGCCATGAGGGCTTCCAGGAAGCCTGAACTCCTACCCAGAATGCTTGTGGCAGGGATGGGGAATGCCTCTGATGAACACGTCATTTCTCTTTAGATGTATAACGAGAAACTCAGTGCCTAAAATGGAAACTCCATCTCCCCAGAAAGACACAAACTGAGCCCTAAAGTACAGGGCTGCAGGAGACTCAGTCAGATTCAGGCAGAAGTAGTATGCTGAGGAATTCTGAGAGTTAAGCCAAACAAAAGGGTGAAGACACCAGGAGGCACAGACTTGTCAATGTGTGGCTACAAAGCACGTTTCTGTAAACCTCTCATATCTACATCCACCGATGGGTTCCCATTTTCCTAAGCAGCATTTCACAGGTCACAGACATGTCTAATGAAGCAGAAATAAGTTGCAGGATGGTGTCAGGATTAGCTGCCCCCAGCCCCAGGCTGAAAGAACCTTTCAATTTTCAAGCAGTGTCTCCTCCTTGGCATATTTTTTTTGTTGCTCAGATTGAAGCTTTTCTTGTTACCCAAAGCACATAAGTCCCAGCACATAATAAAAATATTTCTATGCATTTTTGCCCAGTACTGTTTAAATGATGATGTCACCCTTAACGGGCAACCTCAGGTTCAGTTCCACGGCTACACTCTTTCCAAAATTTCTTCACATGCTATTAAAAATAATTTTGAAGGAAAGGCCTATGCAGCCTGCTTGAGGGCTTGTGCACCACAGAGAAGACCTAGGAAGCAGGCAGGAGGGTGCCCTGCACCATCTCCATGGCAGGATGGCATTGCTGGTCCTCCTTGCAGGAAGAGTGGCTTCAGCAGAACACCAGCACCACAGGACCCTCCAGGAAAGCCCAAGGGAAAAGGGCTTTTTCCTGTTCCTACCACCACAAGGTATCACCAGCGAATACCTGCTTCACCACAGATTGTCCTGCAGAGAATAGCCCACGGTTGGTTTAAATGTATAACAACTCACTTTTGCATGAACACCTCATAAAGATCTTGTTAGGGACCAATCAGGGCAGGCAGCGAGGCGAGCTCCAGCAGATCAACTTGCTGCTGCCTCTCCTCCCGTCTGCAAGGAGCAGCTGCCAAGAAGATACTTGTCCTGCCAGCCTTTGGTGTGCGTACCAAGGCTTTTCGCCTGCCACAGTTTGTGGGCAGACGGCTGTGTGCCGAGACTAGTCCCGAGGTCATTTCACTCTTTTCATGCAGGTCACAGAATAGCTGGCTAACAGCAACAATTTTCAGTCATTTCTTATCTGGATTGGATGTGGGCCAGGAGCCTGAGAGGGTGTGTAGTTAAGAGTGAAAGACAGCCCCTTGCACAGTTGACGGCAAACAGAGCTGGCCTGGCTTTGCCCGGTTTGGGCATTGGCCAACAAGGGTTCGATTTTCTTCCCAGAAACTACCATCAACAGAGCATTAGCCAAAGGCATACCTGGGAGTAATGGGACTAACAATATTAAAGCAGCACCAGCTGTAATCACAAATTAATGTCACACCCTTAAGAGGCTGTTGGACAATACAAAAAATGAGTTAGAATTCTGGGGACACCATGAACCCCCAGCTCCTTTTGAACTTTGTGTACACACTGGCACACATGAACGGAGGAGCTCTGCCAGGTGCTTTCAGAGTACCCTTGGGAGCTCATCACAGGTCTTCTCAAGCCAGTCCCTGGGACTTGCTCTTTGGAGAAATGAATGGATGCTCCTGTAGCCGAATCTGAGGACATGGGGGGTGGTGGGGGTGGTGTGTGTGCATTTAGAGGTGCTCAGTCTTTTTATTATATCCAACTACTTTCTTCCACTCATTATTTTCCCATATTAAAGATCTACTCAGAATGATGGTAAAACTAGTTAGTACAAGAGCGAGAGAGGTGGCATAGTTAAGG